CACTTCAATAGATGGTAATGAGTTTGGCTCCAAGTGTTGAAATGAAATACATCTTGAAGAACAAAAGATTTTCACAAAGATAAAACACTCAAAAGTTTGTCAAGGGTTTGATGTTATTTGATCTTCTTAAGGATGGATAAGAAGGTGTTCGTAAACAACAATAAACCTCACTTAATGCGACAGTGCTACAGGTTTATGTGGAAAATTTTTATTTCACGTTTTAAAGGCTTTTTTCCCGTTCCATCTTCTTTTTACCCTACCTATAAATATCAAACAGCCTCAGAACGAGATTTTTCAAGGTTGAACATTAAGCAAACACTGTGTTGTCAGTATTTTTTTATCTTCTTATCTTTCAACCTTCATGTATCTTTGAGATTCGTTCTTGGTAGTAGGAAAAACATCAGATCCAAATCCAAATACCAAAAACCACACATCCTATATATCTATCAGAGGTGTTGAAGATCGAGGAAGGTGACTGGAGTTGCAGTTTGTAAAGACTGGATTGTTCTTCATGATCTAGGGAGATAAACGAATTCACAAAGCTTGGAGCGCTGCTACCCGGGTAGTAGATTCCACGGAGAGTTTTGACAACATCATCTAAGGATTGGTACAGGAGAGCACGAGATCCGTGGAGAGCTGTAAGGAATGTAGTCGGGTGATCAGACAGTACGAGTCGTCTAGTGGTAGACTTTAAGTTGTTAAATTCGTTCATAGTGGATTGATTGGCAAAGTTCCCGAACTTTTTCCCAGTTGGGTTTCTCCGTGATCATTTTTTGTGTTGATTACTAATGTCATTATATTGATTGATTATACAAATGCGGTATTCAAACTTAGGACTAAGATTGACTTGCACGAATAATCATCTAGAAAAGAATTAAAAAGTGACTTGCTGACTATTTAATTTATTAGTGATTTTAAATTTTGCATATTATACCTATTCACCGCCCTCTAGGTATTGTTAGGATCCAACTGCGTAACATTTAATTGGTATCAGAGCTTTACTTTGATTTATGACCCTTTTTTGTTAAGTCTAGATGAGTCAGTCATTATCTATGCTACCGCATATTGACGAAAGCAACTATGCCTACTGGAAGGTTCGAATGAGAACTTTTTTTAAATCTATGGATGAACATATTTGGATTACCATTCAAAATGGGTGGGCTCCACCTTCAACAACTAATGCTGGTGTAGAATCACCCACGACATATCCTTGTGGACTAAAACTAAC